TTTCTTAATAAAATAATAATTATAAAAATCAATTGGTCTCTTGAACAGTGGAGCTGTCTTAGTGTTACCCTAAGGGGGAATTAAGGCCACACTGAGTCCTAATCTGATTGAGCATTCTGAGTCTACTGACTACAAAGCTCATATTTTTTTTTGAGTTTTCCTAAGGTGGCAGAGGTGTTCTTTTTAGGGCAGACTTGTAAGCAGGAGTTTGGTGCAGGCCTTTGCTGGTGTTACCAGGACTCAACCCAGCGACATAAGGGTGCACAAGCTTCTAATTACTCTCTGTCCGACCAGTCAGTCATCCTTTAGGGGATCTGGTTGCTTACATAGTCCACTCATGTAGTTTATGGAACACTTTCACAGCACCTGGGGACCTTCTGTTGGCATACTCAATCATCACAATTATGAGGTCCTGTGGGAGTGCAAGCGTGCTCATTTGGCACAGGAATATTAGCAACAGAGAGGCTGAGGGCATCACTCACATGCTTGTCACTGAGATTATAATCAAGTTTGTCCCTTACATGCAAACTAAACAAGATTATAGCTCACGCTACATCACCCAATAGCTAATAGCTGGAATCTTGCAGATTAGCCTTAATATTGCTCATTACATGCAAACAGGATGACATCACCATTTATGCAAAAATCTGACCAGATAAAAACTTCAAATCACTCTTCACTCCCAAACCTCATAGATATGACACGCAGATTTTTCTTAATCTATATGGGAGGCAAGAAACTATTATTTTATGATTTTAAAAAACCAAGGGTGGTTTATATGTAAGAATCGCCACCACCACAAGTATGCTTTTCTACTAAAACTATAATATAACCAGTAAACATACAGATATAACTAATGAGAAATTTTTAGACACAGCTTCAGAGGATACATTTAGCCAGAATGGAACACAAATGATACTAAAATCAAGAAGCAGTAGCAGGAAAAGATATTAGACATCATCAAGCAGAGGGATTAAACAAAGTGTTCTACACGAAAAGGCCAATGAAACCACTTTTTCTTCAATTTCTGATGAAAGAGACACAAAGAAGGAATCTGGTGGATCTCAACTGCAAGTCCGTTCCTGGACTGTTGCTCTGCTACACAGAAAACTACGAGCTGGATTCAAGGTTGCCCCCATGCAAGCGGAATGTCTCCTTCCCTCACAAAGGGCTCCAAGATCAAGCAGAAAAATTCATACCGGAGGAAGTGGATAGGGAACCACCTTTCTGCCCGTTCCCCTCCCACCCCACTTCCCCCATCATCATACTCTGATACCCTTTCAGAGATTCCTTCAAAATCTTTGAGGCAATCCTTGGAGTAGCAAGAAAAGAGGGGGTCAGAGAAGATCACCCTCATGCTATCTTTCTCCAGTGAAATGCTGCAAAGCCTGCTTGTTCAGTGGTCAATCCTTACAATCATCAGTGGTTCAGGGACATTGCTTTCAGAAACATGACATCAAGATGCATGAATTGCTAAATCAGCAGCAGTTTTCATGCAAACCAAAATTTCACATTGATTGTGGAGAACCTGCAGGCTTTCTAATAATACTCTGTGGGGATAGATACATCAAAAACAGCAATTCATATCCCTGCACAGCAACACACAACAGTTTTCAGGAATTGGGGCAAACTCTTTTGTCTCGTCTATACACAATGCAAATACAATCAGGGAACAATCACGTGGCTCAGTGCTCACATGCAGAACATCCCGAGTGTGCATTGATGATGCCGCATCAGCACATTAGACTTGGACGAGACTTTGGCTAGTTGAGCTAATAAATACTTTGCTGCCTTCTGGGAGTCGAACCAGCCTGTGTGGTCTTGGGCAAGCTGCACAGTCTCAAGACACCTTCAGAAGAAGGATATAGTAAACCACTGGGAAACACTGAAAAGAACTGACTTGATGGCACATCATCATTATCATCATCATTATATGGTATTTCAGTGCAATCATAATGTTAATGCTCCGTATAATTTTAATATTCTGATTTGTGTAAGGTATACCTAAAACAAACCATTTACTATGCAGTTTCTAAAAATATGGGACTATTATTTTACTGACCACACGATGGTACTGTTGTCTTAAGATGTGCTATTTTGTGGTTGACTTACTATCTGACAACAGTATGGAGTTTAAAAAAAAATCTGTAGATGTTCAGGGGGCAAAGGAAAATAGGGGACTTCTATAACATTGTCTAAGAGTAGTGGATGTATACCAACCAACTCTTGACCTCTGTAATAAGAGTCACAGAACGAACTCATAAACTGTTTTCTATATAGTACATATAGAAAATATAATGTGCAAAAATATAACGCATATTACATTGGCTCAAAATAAATAGCATGTAGGGTCAGTATCAGGGTTGAGGGTCTTTCCTTGTTGATGATGAAGACAGTTCCTACCCAAATACATGTCCTGGGCCCACAATTTAGAGCAATTCCACACCTTTTCTTTTCTGACACTGAGCAACTCCAGCCACCATCTTAGATTTGACCACAATATCCCATCTTAAATAATTCCAGAGGAATGAGGAGGAATGGTGTTGTCTAGCACCACGTTTTATGGAGAATGATGGCTACCACATACACACAAAAACTAGCAGCCACAGATTTCTTGATCTAATTAATCAGTTTACAAGCTGCTTGCCATATTCCCCACCAAAATCTAAGCAGTTCATACACCAAAATGTACAATGCAAAATCAGACATCTGGTCATCGTAATATATACAAAACCTCATCAATCAAATGTACCTTTAAAAAAAAAACAGTCCAAAACACTGGACAACAAAGTCCATCACTAACACACAGGACTTATATAAAAATATACTTTTTAAAAATCACAAAGGCCTGAAGCTTACTACAGTTGCTGCCCTAGATACTAGGGGGTGGCAATCCAAAAAGATGGAACCACTATAGCACCAAATAGGGACTCCCCTACAATACTAAACTACATGTTATGTGCTCGCCCTTCTGGCCCTTGCCC